ACTGTTCAATACTCTTAATAAGGGTAATAGTAATAGTAAAAACTTCTGTTTCTGATAGCAAGAACTCTGGATTGTCCTTTCTTAACTCTAAAAAAACCTTTTGAGACATAACAACCTCTTCTGGTTTAACTGGGCTAAACAGCCTCTGGATGGTGCTGTCCTGCATGTACGTGGTAGCTATCTGGGAGAAAGGATCTTGAAAATTGTCCAATTCGGCCAAAGCTGCCTCTTGTAGCTGCTCCATGCTGCCCGAATGTCTTTCAAAGATCCTTATCATGGTGTCCCTCATGGTACTGAGAAGAGCAGTTTGATACTGCTGGACTCCAGAAGTGACACTGTTGAAGCTCCTCTGAGACAGAAACAAGAAAGAAGTTTAACAAACAAACCCTTAGCCCAACATGATTACCATTTTAAGGAAAACTTCTGACCAATATTTTAGACAAAAATGGTCACTGTCTAGGTCTTACTGAGAAATTAAGTGTAAACAATGCCAATTTTAACAGGCTTAATAATGTATATGTACATATATACCAAGCCCCCATAATTCTTGGACGAAAATGAAGCCAACACGGAAGTGGCTAAAATTGCAGTACCACTCTCATCCACCAGAAGTGAGCAAATCCTCCCTGACTCCCATGTTAAAAATGCCCATTTCACTGCAAAAATAAACATGATTACCAGTGGCGGCTGGCCAGTAGAGGGCGATAGGGCGCCACCCTCTCAGTTTCCACAGTGTTTTTAATTTTTATTTAAAAAAATAAATAAATAAAATTAACAATAATCACATATTCTAAGTTAATTGTGTGTTTTGTAACAAAAATAAATCATATATATATTTCTATATTGGTCTCTGCCGGTCTCTGCCGAGCGGTGGAGGCTGTGGGCTGTGTTTCAATAGCCCAAACGAGACGAGACCAGTCGTCCAATTGCTGACAAGAAAATCAAAGGGTAGGAATGGGAATGTATCCAATCAGCGTCAACGTTGTTTCAGAAGCATGATGGGCGATAGAGCTACCGCCAAAGGCTTTCGTTAGTGCTCGGTAGAACTCGGAGAGTCTCGACTCCAGCACGTTTTTGGTCGTGACTCGTGACGCAGACGTAATAGACATGGACGCCAGTGCGCCTACAACCAGCAGCAGCATGGATACCGGATCTCAGCAGCCACTGAATTCAGTTCGGTCTCTTCTCCAGTATCCGTTCGAGAGGAGAACTATGGTGGAAAAACTTAATGTCAAAGAGCTTGGACCAGATCAGCCCGACGTAAAGATAAGCCAGCAGGAGGAGGAGAAGGGTAAACTGTACACACGAGGCTTCTGGGAAGGCTTGGCTAGCTGGATGCAATCACGCTAATGTGTTATTTTGCTTTCCAAACGACTGTGACAGATGAGGCATGGATTGAGTCAGGAGTTACGGACATGAAACATTTTTCTGAGAAGGTGAAGAAACATGAGTTATCCCGGTCACACATGGACAACACGGTGAAGCTAGCTATGCTAGGCAGAGCTAACATTGCCATGCAGCTAGAGACGAGGGACGCAGGCTTGCAGTGAATAAACACAATGAAGAAGTGGATCAGAACCGGCACATTTTGTCCAAGAGAGAGATGTCAACACAGTGTATGAGCACAAGGATGACCTCCTCAGATTTTTCCAGATGATCAGAGACTCGGATGACTTTGATCCAGTCACTGAGAGAGAGGCAGGAGGCTTTGTGAGAATGCTGGAGGAAGAAGATTTCGGCTTTCTGCTGGCATTGTGTCACAAGATCATGCCACATGTGGACATGCTGTTCAACCAGCTGCAGAAGAGGAACATTGACTCTGTCTCCATCACAGGGGTCATCCAGAGCTTCACCAACAGTATGCAAAAGATCAGGTACATACTTGTTTATTTAATATTATTGTGATGAAATTCTCCAGTGTGTTAGTTTCACAAACAGTAATGTGGATGTGGACCATATATGGTCATGTTATTTTATGTGCAATTTAATGCAGTATTTTTCAACCTTGGTCCACAAGGCAGTGTGCCAATAGTCAGACACACGTGGATTAATCCCTTTGTCCAATAATGTAAGACAGGAAATAAAAGAGCTGTGCTTAATTCACGAAATAGTGAAGTTGTGCACAAAGCTCAGAAAGCACAAGTTTGTTTAAAAAAAAATAGCACAGCCCCACCAAAAATATTTTTCACCAGCCGCCACTGATGATTACAGCCTGATTCAAAAAAAACATTTTAGGTTTAATAGATCTAGTTTACACTCATGACAAGTTACTCACGTTAACAGATGTTCAGCCATTTAGACTCTGAACTTTAGTTGTGTCTGTGTGTTTGGATGTTAATCGTGGGATCTGTTCAGGTTTCCCCTCGACATAACACTGCGACGCGCGAGGCTGTAGTCATGCTGGTCACTTGTCGATGCCTGAGAGAGACCACAGAAAGACTGCAGCTCTTTTAATTGACACTGCTTCGCTTTTTAGTCGCTCAACCGCATTTTTCTCGCAAAAAGTTTGCTGGTTGAATGGGGGAAAATTCTTTTACTATAACACCTCTTGGTCATTCGGCTCCCGGCTCCCTGTCAGCTATATGACTCGGTCAGCTTACAATTTTGTTACTAAGCAGGCCGGCATTCACTTTGCAGTCACTCTACCTTGTTTTTCTTGCTAAAAAAAACGCCAGGAAAAACTCTGTTAGCTTTGGGTTAGCATGTAGCTAATGTCCGACTGATCTTCAACCTTAGATTATGAGCTGATGTAAAAGGCCACAGCGCCTGGCTACGACTGCAACGATCTGAGGCTCTGCTTGCAATTTAGCAGTCCTGGTCCATATTAGATCTCCACAGGTGACCAGCATGACTACAGCCTCCCAGGGAATCCAGGCGGCCTCTTACTTCCTGGTTTAGCTAAGCTGGCTAGTAGCTGCACTGATTCATTTGTTCCAACTGTAACAGCCCCACTCTCAGCTCCACCTATTTTCCCATTTTTGGATTGTCTGGCCGTGACAAGACCTGTGACATGATCATATTGGTGATGGTGGTAACCTCCCATTTGGAAACAAAAACTAATAATTTGAGCCTATGGTCACAAATTGTGTATGTCGATGATATATACACATATACAGTACACAATATATACACATACATACAGTTATTGTATATACATTTTTGTGTGTGTGTATTAACTCCAAATTATTCCTTTCTTTCTTCACATAATATTAGTAATATTAGCATTGGGTTACACTTGTGTGATACCTGTGAGAGCTGACATCCTTCTCGAACATTGATGGTAAATGCTGCTGCACGTCTCTTAAGATTTTCCATTGAAACACTGTCTCCTTCCTGTAGGTATTTTGTGTTAACATTATTTATATTACAATACAAAAAAAATTCACATCAATTGTTAGCATCTTACCTTATTATCAGAATGTGGAATCATAAAACCTTCAAGCCGATGCCTTGACATTTCATTTGGAATGGAAGGTGTTGGGATTTCAGTAGTCCTTTGCATTCCTCGTGTTTCAACGGCACAGTCGGAAAAAATTGGTGTATCAAAATGTTCACCTCCAACATGAGCTTGGTCAGATGTAGAGGCTGTCATCCATCCAGCAGGTGGGTTCCCAGTTGCAAGATAAAGTGCATGATTGCGTCTGATGTGGTAGTAAAGAGAGTTGAAGACCCTGCACTCCTCAGTACAAGCATCTATTCCACATATTACACGAAAATCTGGTTTGCGGCTATGTGTTGTGTTAATATGGCTCAAGAGAGACTTGAAAGTTTAAGCAACAAAAATAAAGCAAATCATACACCTCCAACAGCCCATGTTGTTCTGTCAAAAAAGAAAAACAAGGTGGCTAAATAAATGATGAGTTAGGGAAGATTGGCTGATAATCTTCACTAATTGTAAAGTCTTGCAGGTGGGTCTCGAAAAATGCACCTAGCAGTCAAATCCATGAAGCAGGAACAAAGCAGTGTTTCGCGGGCTCATAGGTGCCACAGGGGTGGACTACACTAAAACGGTCATTAACTTATATAGAAATGTACTTTTCAAAAGGGAAATACAGCAGTTATAGTTTTAACTGACAATTTATAGTTCACTACATCCCACCATTTTGTTGTCAATTATGTAAAACATTGTAATACAGCCCCCATGGGGCTGATTGATGATGAGGCGCAGCTGGCTTCTACCTCTGGGGAGGTGATAAAAGGACTCCCTGCTCAGATGGCAACAGAGGGGCACACTGAAGGCTGAGAGAGACTTTTTGTTTAAAGAAACACTTGGATATATATAACAAAAAGGATAAATGTTTGTTCAGTTACACTCCCTCGTCTTGTTGTGGTTCAGAGCTAGACCATAACACCTGGATGGTCCTATATATGTACAGTTGTCTCTACTGACCCTTTAGATACTTTCAGATTTAGCGGTTATTAGAAAACACCAAGAAAGGTGATTTGGGCACTTGATAAGAATGGCCCTGCACATCTCTCAGGGGAGATGTCTTTGAACATGCCTCGTCAGCAACAGACTATCGGTTGACCCAAAGCACACCGGATGGATTACATCGCCATGTTGGTCTGGGAACACCAGTGGAGCTGGTGGAGGCTGCTCAAAGGGTGGTTTGAATTTCTCTGCTGGAGCTGCAGCCTCCATAACCAAGAAGGATGTAATTGGCAGCCTGACAAACAATCCTCTCCTTTTTATTTATTCTTATCCAGACAAACAACCCATGCATGTACAAAAATATAAAAGGAAGTTATGTCACCAGTGAAGATGAGTGGGTGGAGACGTCCACACGGATTTAAACAGCCTGGCGTGGAAACCAAGCTGGAAAAACTTGTTAAGGCACAACCTCTGGCTCCCTCTGCTGGAGAGGTTGCAACTCAATAGCAGATGTCCTTAACCCTCCTGTTGTGGTCCGTGAGGACTACTAACTTGGCTGTCATCTTCAAATATTTGGACACCTCTGTTATATGATGAAGACAGGAGAAACACAATGATAAATACAAGATAAGCTATGAACAGGCCAGTTTTTATTTCCAGGTATTTCTGTCTGTTGCACAATCTTAGAAGATCGTAGAGAAACCATGCATTTCTAGTTTGTTGTTGCCCACTTCACATCAAGGACATTGCCACATGTTTACATCCTGATGCTTTTACAGTTTTTCATCTGAAGTCCAGCAGTTTTAGTCTTAAACCGACTTCAACATCCTGCTTTCTTCTCTCGCTGTACTTGGTTGTCTTTTAGCAGCGTATTTAGTAAAGTGAGTAAAGAAAACGTTAAGCGTGCTGAGGTTTTCACGGATTCAGATGTGAATTCCTGCTAAAGAACAGCTGATTGTTTAAGTGAACCGATTTAGTTATTTTAATTTCTGATGTAATAGTATTTTTTAATGAAGACTGTTGAATAAATGAGCAAGAGCGTTACATTAAAAGCAGATATCTAAACATTTCCTCTTGCATTCAGGTCAGGTTCAAAGCACCGCATGAAAACAGCACCCAATAATACGTCATTGAGAAATGCAGTTGAAGAAAAGAAAAACAAATAACATTTCCAACTTGATCCCAGAAGTAAAAAAGATCATAACCATCTCAAGAATCTGTGTTAAAGTCTACACATTCAGGAAGTCAAGTGTACATCTGCCACAGCTGTAAAGAAAAATGTTGAGTAACTCGTTCTGTCATTTATCCTTCTGACGTGTTGGAGCAGGTTTCTGAGGGCTAAAGGACCTCCCAGGTGTGTGTTTTGAACCTTGGTGCAACAGAAACACCAAGACAACTTCACGTATACGTGCAGCCACACGGGGTGTAAACACAGATCCCTACACGTCATCATCTGGATCGGCCCGGCCGCACAGGCACATGCAGAGGAGGACGCAGAAGCCAATGATAACGAACAGGGCCAGCATGATGTAGACCAGCGTGGTGGTCCAAAAGGCAAACAGGTAGAGAGACTTGTTGCAGTAGGAGTCTATGTCCGTTGCATTCTTGTTGTAGTTGGGCTGGTAAATCGAGTAGATCCACACGTTACCTGGAGCAGAGAAACACAATCATACATGTGGTCTTTGAGTAGGAGGATCTGAAAACCTGCACACGAGTCAGGAAGTGAGGTCCTAGTTATTTCACGAGAACATCGAGTCATTTAATAACTGGACCAACATGTCTGTTGTTCAAAAGTGAAGCAACAATACCAGTTTACACGTGTTTTGACACGAATATCTAATCAGCCAATCACAAAACCGCAACATTTAGATGTGGTGAAGATGACCTGCTGAAGTTTAACCTGAACATCAGAATAGAGGACAAAAGAGATCTTCACTTTTTTTATTAGTTGTCTTATTAACAGCAAACATACATAGAATATAATTATTATATAAACACTTATATTTATCTCTATATAAACATTTATATATTCAGTTCAGATAAGTGGAGCCTATGCAGAACCTTGAATTGCAGTAGCCCGTGTCTGCAGCAGATGGATGAGTGACAGAATTATTATTCATGTTTTCAATTATCATGTTTTATGCTTTTATTACAATTAAAGATTGTTTCATTTACCATGTTTTATGCTTACTGATTTTACCATTTGAATGCTTAAACAGTTGCTGTATTGTAAAGTCCCCTCATGAGACTTTAAGGGTGTTAAAATCTGACCTAATGTGACCTAAGGATGACCTGTGGAGATCTGCTGAGCTGTCAATTGCTGACTCGTGCAAACTGTTTGCTACTCATCGTGTGATTACACTGAAAGTTCTTTGTGTAATAATGAATACTCTTTGTTTTAAACTTGTAACAATTTAGGACTGAGAGCTGTGTTTCCCCCTCCCTTTAGATCAGCTCTCAGGCATGTAACTAGGGAAGCTCCCAATTTGTAATAAATAGAGGTGCTCGGATTTCAAAGGCCAGAATGGTTTGGAGGAACTGTCAGCTCAGTGGAGACTGGGTTGGTGTGGCCTTATTCCATTCTCCTCGAGCTTAAACAGAATTCTGACTTTTGTGTCTCTTTCCTTGTGTTGTGATGTTATATGGTGTCTTAGGTGCTTAAACCTGACAACGAGTTTTTGTGCTTTAGTCCATTGCCTCAGTGATGTCTGTGCCCAGTTCCTCCTTCCAAGCATCCCTCAAGTAGTCCAGTGTAGTTGTACTGTCTATTTGTGAAAGCTGATTGTAGACCCTGGAAATGGCTCCGTTCTTTAGCAGATTCACCAGGAACAGATCATCTGAAACATGCCTTTGTGGTTCAAGGAACAGTCCCTACTATCCACAGGAACTTCTTGATGCAGAGAAGAAGTGATATTACGGCGTTGTCAGATACTTTAAACGTTATCTGCCATGAAAAAATAATCATGGCCAGAAGTCTTAGCAACAACTCATCGGATTTTTCTGAAGACTGATCGCTTCCATGACCCTGAGCTTGTCCACAGTGGTCATTCTGCTCCTCTGCCAGACTCTGCTGTTCTTCATCCTCTTCAGTCATGTCAGTCTCCTCCTATAAACAGAAAGCATTAGTCACAAAACAAAGTAAATTTAGAGTCAGTATCACATGCACTGAGGACAAGAGATGACATTAAAAACATTCAAGTTTAATTCAAGACTTACCAAAAAGCAGGAGATTTTTGCCTCTTCCTCTGGTTCACAATCTGAATCACTGGATTCAAGGAGGAGATGAAAGCTCTGATATTCAGCTGTTGTATCTAAAGGACAAGCAAAAGACACATTACATAGGGGATTACAATATTGTTCAGCACAATGTATACAAAGGAGTAATCGGGATTTATAGTATATAGAAATAATTTCTATGTAGAGAGGATGTGGGTTCCCTTACACTCCAAAACCAAGTCAGCACCGAGTGAGCGACTCCAATTTTTGATGAATCCGATTTACAAAATTACCAGTTACACGTCTGGTTTTCACCAGCAGCACTTCTGACATTGAAATTTGCATAAAAAACATAATGTCTCCCCAACTTCATGTTATATTTGGAATAATAGTTAACATGAATATGAATATATGATTCAGAAATTAATAATAAAAAATTCTAGTTGATAACTTACCACCAGCTGGATTATCCTTGGTAGCTCAATTCCTTCCCCTTCTTCAAGTTCTCCAGCAAAGCATTCAGTTTTTCCAGTGTCCTCAAACACATTGTCCAAAAACATCAAAGATCTGTTTAGGTCAACAGAAGCTGTCCGTAGCGAATCCTGTAAATCAACTATTTTAGATGTTTTTTTTCCAAACTCCATCATTGAAGTAAAGTTTTTTATGCTCAAAATACTGTGTATGAGTAAGTTCATTATCACAGTGTCCACAAATGCGGTGTGGTCTTTTCTTTGAGACATTCATCTTGGGAGAATATTCCTCCGTCAGGGCAGTTTTATTACTGTTTTTCAAACTACAAATCTCACACACACATGCTACATTTAAAGAAGGCTGACATTGGGCAACTATAGCGGAGGTCCTTGGGTTCAGTATGTTGTCCAATCACGTTACAGCGCAAGTCTAGTTTGTCCAGTCACGTACGAGGATGCTTGTGTGTGATCCTAATTGGCTGACAGTCCGGGTCCCGGAAGTTGAAAAGGAGATGCGGGAGCATGGCCGAAAAACTTTTTTGTAAACACTGGACAAAACGCCAAAGAAATGTTTCACCATCATCTCGATTTTTACCAAAACTCTACACCTCAGCGTCAGCGGGATAGTCCACAGAGCCTTCCTGCAAGCCCAGCGCAAGCGGACAATAAAGTAGTGTTGTCCACCATCAGCGGGTTGTCTCGCCAGATAACTTCATCCACAGAGCAGCTCCAGCAGAAACTTGATGCTGTGGAGGACTTGTTTCTCTCGAAAAATGGATGACAGACCTAGAAAGCAGCCGGGACAGCGATTCAGTGGCTGAAACCCACAAACGCAAGAGACGTTGCCGCAACACAAAGCTTGCGGTAAGAATGGCTCACAAAGTCACAGAGATGTTTACGGAGTTTAATGTGTGTTTGTGCTTTAAACCGACTTGTCTGATTGTTCAAATCAATTCAATTGAAAAAAATACTTTATTAATCCCAGAGGGAAATTGATTGCTGTAGTAGCTCAGAATAATAATAATAATCAAGTCATCAAAGAGTTATTGTATATTACAATGGCTGTTGGCAGGAAGGATCTCCAGTAGCGGTCAGAGTTGCAGTGAAACTGAAGAAGCCTCTGACTGAAGACACTCTTCCGTTGTCGGACAGTCTTGTGAAGAGAATGCTCAGGATTGTCCATCATTTTCTTGATTCTCTGGAGAATCCTTCTTTGCATGATCTCCTCCAGTGGTTCCACAGTCGTCCCCAGAACAGAACCAGCCTTTTTTATTAGGCTGTTGAGCCTTTTCAGGTCCCTGCTTCTGATACTGCTACCCCAACAGACGATGGCCGAAGAGATTACACTCTCAACAACAGACTTGTAGAAGATCTGCAGCATCTTGCTACAGACATTGAAGGACGTGGAGTTTCTGGCAAAGTACATCAGGCTGGATTGTGTTAAATGCACAGGAGAAATCAAAGAACATGACCCTCACAGTGCTGAACTTTGTCCAGAAGACAGTGTCAAATCCAATGTCTTGTTTTCTCTGGTGGAGCAGCTGACAAACTGTTGAAATGTTGGAAGTGTAGCTGAGAGCGAGGCATGATTAAAATCACCAGATATAGCCACAAATGCATTGGGGTGCTGGGTTTGTAGCTTAGCGACAACAGAACTGATGGAATCGCATGAACTTTCAGCAATGGCTGAAGGTGGAATATAAATGGTTGCCAAGACAGCACTGCTTCCTTTTTAAAGGAAGCGGTCCTCCGTTTTCATAATGCAGAAACAAACAGCAGCCGCTACGAGCCGGATTTTCAGAGTTTGGATAGCAACGAGATCAGTTGTAAGTAACTCAAATTACGTGTAAAATTTTGATCTTAATATGTAAAAAAAAATAAATAAAAAAATTAATGTCATTTTAACATGTATTTTCTTTGTCCCAGCTTCTTGCAAGACATATTTTGAGACAGTTCAGAGAAATTATAGGTACAAGAAACCGGACCTTGTAGAGAAAGCCGTCTCTTCAAAGAATATGGCCAGGAGCCGACAAAGAAGAAAGAAGAAGAAAATATCATTTCTATAGCGTCTCTCAAGATAAAAATCACGAGGCGCTTCACAAAAACAAAAATGTTAAAATATAAAAAAACATTTAGAAAATGTTTAAAACTATATTTAAAATGAGCAAAAATAGGCAATTGGGATTTAAAAGAAAAAAGTTAAGAAAGAGAGAGAGTGAACAGGAAAGAGGGAAATCAGTGGATCCTGGGGAAGGTGGAATAAGTGGGGAGAGCAGAATAAAGAGAGAGTGGTGAAGAAGGTCATACAAAAGCCAGCTTGAACAAGTGAATCTTCAGCTGCTTTTTAAAGGAGACCACTGAGTCCACTGATCTCAGGCTATGGGGGAGAGTTCAAGGGTCTGGGGGCCACAGCAGCAAACGATCTGTCACCTTTGGTCTTTAGCCTGGTGCTGCACAACCAGTAGGCTTTGATCACTGGACCTCAGGGACCTGCTGGGGGTGTAGGGACTAAGAAGATCATCAATGTAAGATGGTGCTTGTCCATGTAAGGCCCTATAGACCAGAACCAGGATCTTGAAATGAACCCTAAAGTTGACTGGCAGCCAGTGAAGATGGAGGAGAAGCGGGGTGATGTGGGTGTGTTTGGATGACTTGGTCAGAAGGCGAGCACAGGCATTCTGAACCACCTGTAGACGGTTCAGGGATGTTCTGCTCAGACACGAAAGAGGGTGAGTTCATGTGCTTGTTATTTCACATGGCTGGATAGTCAATCTGATATATGTGCCCAAAACAAACTATCTTGTTTGTTTTTTTGTGTCCAGCTACTGGCAGCGAGGATGAGCGTTGTGAAACCAGAGGAGCTGAAGTTTTGGACAGGTGTCACGGCGGACCTGATGTCCGACGAGGAGGATGGCACACAGGATGACGTTTCTGGTTGAACTGTGCGTCGTCCAACATTTCG